TTTTTATTTGTCTTTGTCAGAAATTAGAAAAATAAGGTATTTAGATAAATTCTACTATTATTTTAGAGTATTCTCAAATACATTCATACTGACCTTGCAGGCCAGTACTTAACCCATAGTGCCAGGACTCTTTTTTTGTTTATCCCTGGAGAACTGAAAAAATTATGACAGGATTTCATGTACTAGTTTTATAAATCAGGTATTAATTTTAATAAACTTGATGTGAAAGTATGCTTTTGTTAAGTTAAAAAGAAGGAATCTATTCTTTTTCTTAAGATGTACACGGTCGTGAGTAGAATATTTTGATACGTTTAAATGCCCCTGCCCTTAAGATACACAGAGTATGTGAACAGTCTTTATCGGAAATATGAACCAAGTCATAACAATTTCCCAGACCACAGGTAGTCACTCTGAAAGGAGTACAGAGCTACTATTTTGTTGTTTTCATTAAGTGCCTTTGAGTTGATTTTGAATCATAGCAACTCGGTATAGGGTATCTGAGGAACAGCTGGTGAGTCTGAACCACCAACCTTGAAGTTCAAACCTACCTTAAGGTCGAGTGCTTAGCCTACTGCGCCATACCAATTGTTGTTGTTGTTAAGTGCCATTGAGTCAATTCCAACCCATAGCGACCCTTTATAGGGTTTCCAAGGAGCAGCTCGTGAGCTTCAACCACCGACCTTGCAGTTCAAACGACTTTGCAGTCTGGTGCATTAGTCTCCAGCGCCACACCAGGACGCTGTACCAGTAGCCTTCTATATATTTTTTTAAACAAATACGTTGCATTTTATTTAATAACATTTGATGCATCTGGAGTTCACGTGTATGAAGTATCCATACACATACATGTGTACACACCTACATATTTGTGACTTTTTACTGTTTCGTTGGTTTATGTATATATACCTGGTTCAACACTATACAGGTATCCACTACTTGTCAAAAATTTGCTTTATACTAATTTGCTTTTATTGAAGACCTACATTAGTATTTGTTTTCACTTAGTAAAACAAGTTCAGAGAGGATTTTTGCTTTTATGAAAGGAGGCGTAAAGCAAGACTGCCTTTCAGCATTGGGTTTTCAGTGAGTTGCTAAGGGGACAGTACACATCCAGAGCCGCGAGAGGGAAGGCACCAGGCTCCTTCCCTGGGAACTACATTCAGCATCTCAGCATCAAGCTACTGGAGCTTTGAATTGCATCAGTGAACCCTGTATGTTAGTGATAATTTAGGTTTCATGTGTTATTTGGTGTGGTTTGGTAGGTTATTTTGGAGGGTCTGGGAACACTCACAGAATTTCCCCATGTCAATGAAGGGTAATCGATCCTTTGTGATATGCCATTTCAGCTTATGGAAGGTTTCATAGGAATGCTGTCCTTTGGGATCCTGCAGGAAACCTACATATACTGTTTTAGTTACTTTAGCTCTATAATGAGACGTCTAATCCCTTAAAATGAGTCCCACAGTCTTTTACTTCCATAAACTTTCCTTGGTGATCTTGATACTCTTCCAGTTTGTCAAGTACCTTAAACAACTCTGTTGGGAATTTTGTGGGACTTGCACTAACTATATATATATATATATATGTGTTGTTGTTAAGTGCCATCGAGTCGGTTTCGACCCATAGCGACCCTGTACAGGGTTTCCGAGGGTGTAAATCTTTACGGGAGTAGAAAGCCT